TTGTACTTGTCCTCCGCTCTTCCCCAGTAGCATGTTGGACACCTTCCGACCTGAGGGGCTCATCTTCCAGCGTCATAACTTTTATATGCCTGTTGTCTTTGTCCATGGAGTTTTCTTGGCAGGGATACTGGAGTGGCTTGCCAGTTCCTGCTCCAGGTGGATCACGTTTGGTCAAAACTCTCCACTATGACCTGTCCATCTTGGGTGGCCCTGCACGGCATAGCTCATAGCTTCTCTGAGTTATTCAAGCCCCTTCGCCACGGCAAGGCAGTGATCCATGAAGGAGGAATAATATATAGCATTCTCAAAAGAGATCTGATAGCGTGGTCAAGTTCCAAGCAATGCCTTAGTGTGTATGAACTGCATTGATGACGAAAACAGATTTGTTTCAGGTGGCGAGCTCAATGAAGTTGTCTACACAGTGTGAAGCAGCAAAGGCAAAATCCATGTTGGGGCCAGTAGCACAGGGTCTGAAAATAAAACTCCAGTTATTATAATGCTTTTCTGCAAACCTGTAGTGTGACCACACTTCGAATACTGTGTACAGTTCAGGTTGCTGCAACTTGGAAATTTATTTTGTACAGCTGGAAAAGGTGCAGGAAAGGGTAACCAAAATTATAATAGTACAGGAGCAACTGAGGAAAGTGTTTGGAGATTTTTAGTTTAGAAAAACTGAGTAAAGGAGGGGGTGTTAAAATTCTGCATAGTGTGCAGAAAATGGATTTCTCTTGTAATACTAGAGTTCAGGGTCATCCAGTGCAGCTGAAAGTTGGGAGAGGTGAATAAGACCATCAATGGCTAGAAGTCATGGTGGTTATGTACTGCCTCCAGAATCGGAGGTGCTGTTCTTCTGAGACCAGGAGTGGCAGAAGGCTTGTGGGCTTCCCAGAGGCCATCTGGTTGGCCACTGTGAGCACTGCATGCTGGACTTGATCGACCTTCGGACTCATCCAGCAGGGTTCTTGTTATGTTTAGTTTAGTTGTATTTAGTTATCAAACTGCCACAAAGCCAAGGTTTAACAGAATGAATGAAAGGTTAACATCAACAGGAGCTATCAGGTTAAGAAATAGAAAGGGGTGACTTTGGATTTTGTGTTTGTGGGAATTCTAACTGACTTGGGAGTGCCTTGGATTTAAATAAAGGAATGTTAAATCCTGCTGTACAGAGGCAGGAACTAGTGTTCCATCTGGAGAAAAGTTAAAAAATAAAGAATAAGGATGGTGTTGCTGTTTTCTTTTATCCAAAGAACAAAATGATAGCATTTACAATAGGTTTCAAGTGTTGTGATAACACACCTGTTGGTAGCAGGGGGAAGGGCTTGTTTCTCTCTTTCTATTTATTATTAAATGCAATGAAACTGTTTTCATGCCTTCTGTCTTGAATTTTTTTAAACATCTTTATTGAAAGTTTTAAAAGTACATAATTATATGTGCACTAAACATGATGAGACGGAAATAAGAGAAAAAGAAAAAGAAAAACAGAACCCGCGTAAAAGGGGAAATAAAGGGGGGGGGACCCAAAGTGTATATTTTACAAGGTTGTTATTGTACTTCACCAGATCTTAACCTATTACAGTATTTGTAAGAATGGATTCCAAATATCATTGAATTTGTCCATGGCAAGTCTGCGTTTATATGCAAGTTGTTCATATGTTGCGAGTTTGCATAAGTCTTCAATCCAATCATAGAAGGGAGCCGCATTTTTATTTTTCCAGTTCATCAGAACCAGTCTTTTTGCTGTGGTCAGGGCACGGAGAGTCCACTCGTATTGTCCTTTTGTAAGGTTCCAGGTGCTGGGTATATAATTCAAGAAGATATTTTGCTCTGTAAATGTAAGGATATTCTGTACAGTTCTGTTGATAGTTTCAGTTACCGTCTGCCAAAAAATCTTTCAATATAGGACAATGAAAAAACATGTTTTAGAGAAGCATTATCCCTATTGCATCTCCAACAGTTAGATACCTTAGATAGCCCTTTTTTAAACATAATGGAGTCCAATATATTCTAAATATTTTTTGTTATTGTATAAGGTCGAAATTGAGATCTCTTAATTCTTTATTCCAATCCTCCTTCAGTACCTGTATATCAATTTGGTTTGGTAATAACAAAGATTTATATATGTTGGTGGCCGGTTTTTTGTGGCGTAAGAATCAATCAACTGCTTCAATATATCTGGGGTCTCTGAGGCTGTAAAAGCTGCTGGTCTGTAGATGGTGGTTAGCAAGTGTTTTATCTGGAGATATTGCCATTGAGCATTTGTAGGTAATCTGTATTTGTCTCTTAAGATGCAGTATATATAATATTCATCCTCTTCATTTATCAGCTGGTCTAACATTAATATACCCCATATATATATATATATATATATATATATATGTGTGTGTGTGTGTGTGTGTGTTTTTCAGAATTTTATACATTTTAACATAACCATTTCAAACATTAAAATACAAGGTACATTTGAAGCTTCGGGCCTCCTTCCCTCCCTCCATGGGTTCCATGTTTAAGATTAAGTTTGCTGCATCTTTTACCATTATCCATCTATTAAATATCCATAATTATCGTAAAAAATCCACATTACAATTGTCATTACAACCCTGTCAGTGATTTTAACTGTTTACACTGGTCCTTTAAATAAATTACAGATTTGCTTCAGTCTTTAGAAAATACTTGATCTTCCTGGTTTCAGATCTTCCCCGTTAGTTTCGCCATCTCCACAAATTCCATCAGTTCCATCTGCCATTCTTCTTTTGTTGGTACTTCACCTTCCTTCCATTTCTGGGCTACTAACATTCTCGCTGCTGTCGTTGCATAAGTCTTTTATCTTCACTTGATAACTCTTCACCTATTATACCTAGTAAAAAGGCTTCTGGTTTTTTAACAAATGTATTTTTAAACATTTTCTTTAGTTCATTATATATCATTTCCCAGAAAGCCTTTACCAATGTACATGTCCATTAATACATATACCCAAATTCATCCACCTCTTCCATATGATCATTTCTTTCCCATTTTTAATGACTTGTTTCCCCACAAAGTCATTTTGCCATGGGACAAAAGGTCAAATTTATAATTTGGGGACATATGGTGCCATATTGTTCGAACTGATGTTACTGATTCAGTAGCATCTTAAGTATTAATGTATTTAGACCCAAGTTCTGCCCATCTCTCTAGGTAAAGGTAAAGGGACCCCTGACCATTAGGTCCAGTCGGACCGACTCTGGGGTTGCGGCGCTCATCTCGCTTTATTGGCCGAGGGAGCCGGCGTACAGCTTCCGGGTCATGTGGCCAGCATGACTAAGCCGCTTCTGGCAAACCAGAGCAGCGCATGGAAACGCCGTTTCTCTAGAAGTGCTATATCTCTCTAGTCTAGAGGTGCTACATATTCCAAAGCAGCCCATTTTGGACAGTTGTTTTCAGTTGTGGGTCTCCAGAATAGTGTACCTGACAGTAAATATCCTTGTTGATACAATTCTAAGTCTGGGATCCCAATTCCTCCATCTTTTATCAGTATTTGCATTTTTTGCATAGATATTCTTGGAAGTGAAGAGCCCCAAAGGCATTTTCTAGTAAAAGATTTAATTTTGTGAAAGTATTTGTTAGTCGTGTGAATTGGAATTTCTCTTAAGACATAAAGTAGTCTAGGTATTATGTTCATTTTAAGAGCATTGACTTTCCCTCACAGAGTCAGGTTCAATGACTCTCATCTGTCGATGTCTATTGATACCTCATGATATATTTTGTTGATGTTTAATTATGCTCATTTACATAAGTTGTGGTATTAATATGCCTAGATATTTAATGTTGTCTTTGCAAATATGAAATTGGCATTGTTTAAACAGTTGAACCAAAAAGTTATTTCCTATTAACATCAACTCCAATTTGGACCAGTTTATAGTATATCCAGAAATACTGCCAAATATATATATATATTTTGCATTAATATTGAAATAGTACTGTGAGGTTTCATAATAAACAGAAGAATATCATCTGTAAACATTACCAATTTGTATTCAAATGAGTTATGAATTACACCAAAGATTTCCTTATGCTGTCTAATAGTACAGCCAGGGACTCCAAACAGATATTAAAAAGCAAAGGCAAAAGTGGGCAGCCTTGCCTAGGCCCTCCAGATAATGTGAAAGGTTCAGAAATTATGCCATTTGTCTTAACTCTAGATGTAGGGGAGCAATATAATATGTTTATCCATTTTATAAAGTCTAATGGAAAACCAAAATTTTGTAGTACTTTTTCCACACATAGATTGTGGATCTTGTCAAAAGCTTTTTCCATATCTAGAGATAGTATACAGTAGCTAAATCTTCACTGTTCCTGTTTAAATTTATCAAATCCACTACCAGCCTGATGTTATCTACAGCTTGTCTCGTCTTTATAAACCCTGTTTGGTCATTTTTAATAATAGTTGGTATCACTCTTTGCAATCTATTTGCCAATATTGCTGTTACTATTTTCGTATCAATGTTTATCAAAGAAATTGGGCGATAGTTGGCACATTGCATCAGATCCTTGCCAGGCTTTGGAATAACAGTAATGTAAGCATGGTTGAATAATGTTGAGCTGATTCCTTCTCTAAATATCTCATCATATAACTGATATAATCTAGGTGACAGGAGATCAGTATATGTTTTATACCATTCCACTTGAAAGCTGTCTAGCCCTGGTGCATTACCATTTGCCATATTTGAGATTGTTTCCCCAATCTCAACTTCTGATATTGGAGACATCAATAGTTGTTTTTGTGTGTTTTCTCATCTTGGTAGTTTTATTTTTATGGGGAAAAAATTACATAACCTCTTCCAGTACCTCTTCTGCTTGTCTCTTTTTTATATATAATTTCATTTTTCAACTTTTACAAACATTTTAGCCAAAAAAATCAACAGTCAAATCTAACAGGTAAAGGGAAGTACTTGTCTCAAAATGGCTTGAGATCTCGAGGGCGGTTCCACAGAGGCTCTTGTAACAAACCATTTTTACTTTGACAGGGAGCATTGCTGCTGGAAAGCCTGTATCCCAGGACAGAAAGATCACCCCGACGCCAAGAGAAATGGCCAGCTCCAAGTCGCCTCATGCTACCCTTGCAGACCACCACCCCCCTATCTCTCCATATGAGCACCTGCTCCGGGGAGTGAGTGGGGTGGACTTGTACAGGGGACACATTCCATTGGCCTTTGACCCAGCAGCTATTCCCAGAGGAATCCCCCTGGAAGCAGGTAAACATGTCTTAGCTTCAGAAAATGGCAGCAGTGAAACAATCACCGTGGCTGGAATATGCTGAGTTATCTAGGCCAGCATTACACAGCTTAGTCTCTCTGTACAGATTCGACTGGGTTAGTTCTTAAGAATCTGGATGCATTGTTCAGTTTAGAACAATTTAACAGACAATGGAAAAGGACAGAGAACATTGGGAGATGTTTGAGGCCATTCTAGCAACATGCAGAGTAAAGAAGAATATCTCTGGTTTCGGACACCCTGGGATAGTTGCAGCAAGAACGGGGGTGGGGGGTGGGCAAGGTTCAGGTAAAGAGGAGAAGAGTTTGGACATGGTTGGTAGTGGTGAACTTACAGTGAGAAGCCAAAAATAGAGTTGAAGAAGAGATCTAGTAGAGCAGAGATGGCTCCAATTGCCCTCCAAGTGCTCTTGTTTTGAAACAAACTCTGCTGAAGAAAACACACAGCATATGAAAAAGCTAATATTGTCCCTTTTCTCTGTTCTGCCCAGCAGCCGCTTATTACTTGCCAAGGCACCTCGCTCCTAGTCCTACGTACCCCCATCTCTACCCACCATACCTAATCCGCGGCTACCCAGATACGGCTGCCATGGAGAACAGGCAGACCATCATCAACGACTACATCACCTCCCAGCAGATGCACCACAATGCTGCGGCTGCCACTGCAATGGCCCAGAGGGCAGACCTGCTGCGTGGCCTGTCTCCGCGAGAGCCCTCGCTAGCCCTCAATTATGCAGCAGGTCCGAAAATAGGTTTGGGGTTGTGTGGCAAATTCTGGCAGGTGTCTGTGTTCGTCTGTTGCAAGAAAAGCAAGAGAGATCCTTGAAGCACATGTTTGTTATAGCATAACTTTCCATGGGCCAGACTTGGTCCGTTGCTGGACAAAGCCTGCAAAAGTATCTCCCACAATTCACTGGTTAGATTCAAGGTGTTGTTGAGACTAGGAGGACTTTGTGAACATGGAGCAAGTTTCAGGCATAAGGGCCTAATTTGGCAACATTAACTGGTGAAGGCATCAATCAGCTGCAACATTTTTTATGTTTCACATGATGCATGTAGATCATGGGGATCCAATGGTCTTCTTAACTGCACCAGTAATTCTGGTGATGAAGCTTTTGCATTACCTAGAACTCTTCGGCAACTCTTTCCTCAGGCCTGTAGTTTTCCCTGTTCCGCATTGCCAAGTTGCATGAAGTGTAACTGACAAGAGAGAGGTTCTTCACTGTGTTTTGTCTGCCCACTTCTTTGCCTGCCGTTCTGAACAAGCTGCAGGCAGTTTGGGCAGCTGGCCTTGCCCTTCAGGTGATGTGATACCATGTGACACGGACAGAACTTCCTGCTTTCAGAAGATGGATCTCCCTAAAAAGTGCAGGAGGCATGGGGCAGACAGGAAAGTCGGAAAGTGGTACCCAGTGTCCAGATTAAGGCATCCTTTCACAGCTGACACAGCACAGGCTACAATGTCTTACAATGCCACAAGAGGTTTCTGCTTTTTTGATACTGCACTTCTAGTTCCAAGGCATATTGCTTCTCCTAACTGTCTCTCCCCCCTCCATTCTCTTAGCAGGAATAATTGACCTGTCTCAAGTGCCACATTTGCCTGTCCTTGTGCCCCCCACCCCGGGCACTTCTGCCGCCTCCATTGACCGGGTCACATACATCCACAGCGCCCCCCAGGCTTTCACCAGCCGGCACAGCAGCTCTCCACTCTCCCCAGGTAGGCTGATTCTGATATGTTGCTGAAATTCATGAGGTGCTTCTTTAAGAGCCTAAGTTAACCCATGTCCACTCTCAGCCTAGAAGAACATAAGGGACATGGAGAGGAGGAAAATAAGAAACAGCAACACAAAGCAAAATTAAGGGGCTAAAATTGCAGTACTTTAAAATGGGTATGTCGTTTTATATCTGGGTGTCCTCGGATGTTTCAGGCTGCAGTTTTCTTTGGCTGCTGGCAGGGGGCCTGCAGAATAGCTGCTTTAATATTCAGGTCAAAACATCTGCTTTCTGAGCATGTTCAGACTGTGTGTTTAATGATTCATAGGAGGCCACACACACCTGACCAAGCAGACAGGACCTTCAGTTTCTGAAAGGGAGCAAGAACGAGACCGTGAACGGGAGCGTGAGAAGGAGCGCAAGAAGTCGGTCTTAGCGGCCACAACCACTGTGGAGCATGCCCCCATCTGGAGACCAGGTTGGATCGCATTCCTTTAGTGACCTCGGGGGGGGGCAGGGGGGCAGCGGGTGGAGGTGCCTGGCAGGGACTTGGTTAAGTTCTTTCTTGTTCAACCGTTGTTCGTTTTGGATTTTCCACATCTAGAGTTTTCACAGTGTTTCTTTGTGTTTTGTGGCAGGCACAGACCAAAGCAGCAGTCGGCCGTCAGCACACTCTCACAATCACAAGCACTCCCCTGTCTCGCCCCGCACCCAGGAGAACATCCAGCAACGCCCCAGCGTCTTGCATAACACAAACATGAAGATGATCCCTTCGGAGAACCTTGCCCCCTCAGTTCTGCGGTATGTCATAGATGCGCTAACGGCCTTATTGGTTCCTGACGTGCCGTGGGCAGGGTTGCTCAGCACGTTTTTATTATATATTTTATTTTATCTATTAAATTTCTGTACTGCCCTTCATCCAAGGATCACAGGTCGATTTACATTTCACATTGCCAATTGGGGCCTTGCAGGGAGGAAATTGCATTGGGTGCAGATCATTGTTGCAAAGAGGACATTTTAGTGTCACGGCTAAGGTGGCACATGGGGGATGTGGCAGAGGTTTGTAGCATACATATATATACCTGAAACATTCAAAGCTCACCCTTCAGCCTAAAAGGGTCCCCAGGGGGGCATACAACAACCATTTAAAATGCAAATCCTACATGAAAGCAAGAATAAATACTGTAGAAGAGAACAGGGAAACTACAGAAACAGAGTCAGAATGAAACTTCAGAACAGCAGGAAAAATAACACTCAAAGCCTTGCATAAAGTTATATCCCAATGTCGGTGTTGCTCACTGAAACTAATGGGCCTGATATATTTATGTCTACTCTGAGTAGGACTAGCACTAGATACAGCCCATAGTACATAATTAGTTTTTGGACCTTGCTGTCCGAAGAGGTTCTGATTGCTGGTTGGTTAGATGGCTTTCCAAAAGAGTGGATAAATACATGGAGGACATGAGGCTCTGGCAGGGTCCTAGAGCCTTCCCATTTCCTTCCCAGAGCTGTGCAACTGCTGACTATGCTTTGGGAAGGAGGTGGGAGGACTCTGGGACCCTGCCAGAGCCCTCATGTCTCCTTCCCGAAGTCTAGTTAGCGCTTGCCCAGTTGTGCCAGGAAACCCACAGTTGTGCCCTAAATCCACCTCTGCCCCCACCCAAAAAGCTTCCCACAGGTCTCTTACTTTGCCTTCTGCTCTTCAGATCCACCTCCTCCTCTGCCGCCACCACATCACCAGTTCGCTCCTCAGGATACTCCTCGGTATCGTCACTGCGCAGCTCCGTAGGTGGGTTGGACAGCTATACCTCTATGATGGATCCTGCCCACATGCAGAAGGAGGCCTCCAGAGCGCAGGATGTCAAAGCGGAGCGGCCTCAGGCAGACAGCAACCTGTTCTCCTCCAAGCTGCCTGCTGGGGGCGGCCTGGAACAGTCGCCTTCACCCGTTAAAGCCATGGAGCCCAGGCCTTTGTCCTCCTCTGGGCCAGGTCCAACCCACCTGTATAGCAGAGGACAGGGGAAAAGCCACCCTCAGCACCACCCGCCCCTGGAGCAGTCGCTGCACGCAGTTTCGGCCAGTGAGCAGCCCAGTAGAGAAAAGAGTAAAACCTTTTCAGTACAGGAGCAGGAGCTCCGAGCACTCGGTAAGACCACCATGACAGCGGCCAGCTTCATAGATGTGATTATCATGCGTCAAATTTCTTGCGATAAGGGGAAGCGAGAGAGAAGCTCGCTAAGTAACGACGCCAATAGCGATGGTAAGAAATTGGAGGGGGAGCGGGGCGGTTCTTCCAAGTTTGTGGCCTTAAAACACACACAAATACCTTTTTCCCCCCCGAAGACCCTTCTCACCCATCAGTTTTTTAAATTTGATTTTTGCATTTGTGGTGACGGCCTGTTTTATTTCATGTGGTGTCTCATATGAAGACTCTTGCTCCTGTATTTGTTTTCTCATCTACATGCCTTCTTGGGTTTGGTTTTGTTTGTTGCTGCTGCTGTTATGCATATCGTTCAGTTCCTGGTACATGGCTGTGATTGTGACGGGCAAAAGGAGGTGGCTGAAGGAAAACATGAATGAGAGTGTCATGGGCAACAGTACTGTATGCTGCATGGATACTTTGGGATGGAGTTTTGTTTTCAGGGGCTTTAATTTATTCTCTGCTCCAAATTCCAAAGATTTACATTTTTCGAATAAATTGCATGATCTGCTATGTTTGTATGATATATATGGATCATAGCATGTATATTTTGTGTTTGGCATTGGGCAGTAGTGGGGCAGGAATGGGGAGCCTGTGTGCCTCCCGGTGTCGTGGGACTACAGCTGTTACCATTGGTCATGCTGGCTGGGGCAACATCCTGGAAGGGCCACAGGTTCCCCATCCCTGTCATAGGTTATTGCCTGCATAATTCAGCTGGGCACCAGGGGCTGTGACAACCGCCCTGCTCCCTGCCTCTGAAAGGTCAGAGTCTATACCAAACAGGTAGCCCACCTAGGAGAAGGAAAACTGATCCTGAAACTCCTCTGAAAGAAGAAAAGGCTAAGGAGTTAACCTTACACAAATCTGGAGTGGAATCCCTAAGGATGGCGCTTTGTGTGCCTTTTCCCGGCAACACCTGCAGCCAAGCTGGTGCTTTCCTTTGGACCACATCAGTGAGGCCTAGAGTGGGGTTTTGTCATCTGGGCAGCCCAGGTCCTCCATGCATACTGCCCACACATGTTTGTGCCCCAGGGAGGACGCTTTGGGGCTGCTAACACAGCAGTTTGACTTCAACTCTGAAGGCACACTCTGTTGTCTCTCGAGACAGACAGATGCCAACACACAATACATGCATCTAGGACTTTCTTTAATGGCAGTTACAATCTCCAAAGTTTCCAAGCTCTGAAGCATGTTCACATCAGACTACACCCTAGCTCTGTATATCTCTGCCAATGAAATGACATTTCCTGAAAGTTCAGAAAGCTAAGCCGCTGCATGGTACTATGGAGGTTCCTTCTGAATTGAGCCTAGAAGTGATTTAGCAAGCTTTTGAGCTGAAAGTACCACTGGGGTAATATGATCATACCAGCTCATGCCAGGTATCACTCTGGCTGCTGTGTTATGAACCAGCTGAAGCTCCCAGGCACTTCTGAATTGCAGCTCCAAGTAAAAACTTCTGTAATAATCCAGCTTGGGTGTAGCTAGGGCATGAATGGCAGCAGCCAGGTCCAGTTTCTTTATATATGGGCACAGCTTGGCACGCCAACTAAATCTGATGGAAAGCCAAAGCTGTAAGTAGGAAGATCTAGGGAGTAAAGCACTTTGAGATGTAAGGATGCAGATGCTTCCACAGGTGACAGAAATTTCACTTGCATTGCAGGGGGTTGGATTGGGTGACCCCCAGGCTCCCTGCTTCCAACTAGATTCTGTGAGATTTGATTATTATCTCTCTTTAAGTTTCATTTTGCTTTGAGAGCAGCCACATGTTATACCTACAGCGTCTCTACTTAGTTTGGCTTCCTGGTGTGTCAGCCTCTGGCTTTCTGTTCAGGAAAGAAGCACTAAGAAGCTGGCACATTTGCCCCCTGTGCCCCTTTCCTCACCTTCCTTCCCCATCAGTAAGTGCCACCAAGTTTAGAACACAGATACAAATTGCTTTGAACCACCAGGTGCCGAGTAGGGATGGAAACCAGTTGTAGGTTTTTATGGCTGTCAGGAAAGTCTTTTAAGGGTTTCTTTTGTCCACCCCTCTGTTAAATACAGCGTGAATCTTTTGCAACTGCTGCATTAGTGCTTGGAAGGAAAGAGTGCTGTTGCCATTTTAAAAGACCCTTTGCTCTCTTTCATGCCTTCCAGGTTTCCATGGAAGCTACAGCCCTGATGGCATAGAAGCAATAAGTCCCGTGAGCTCACCCAGCACACTCCATGAGAAAGGGGCAAAGCCATCCCAGGAGGCTGAGAAAGGGCGCGGGGCGGAGCATGACCCCCGGCTGAAGCAGCCAGGTGAGGGGACTTCCTGGAAAGGCCCACCATACACCTAGCGAACATTGGTTGCATCACCTCTTGCCCAAAAGCACAACCAATAGCAGGAACAAGCCACCCTGACATTCTCCAGGTGCTCTGGACTACAATTCTCAGCACTCCTGACCAGCGGACACGTTGGCTGATGAGATTTGGAGTCCACACCATTTGAAGGGCACCATGTTGACGATCTCTGCTAGTCAGCACGTGGCATTGATTTTACTAGTGCTTGCAATCTTCAGATCAAATTGTCACCTCTAAAACGTTTGACATGTCATCACTGGCTCTTGTCGTTCGGTTTTTGCCTGTCTGCCTTTGCTTGCTTTATACGTAAGGGATTATTTTTCTTGACTTAAAGGAAAGGTGAGAGCATTGGAAATGGGTGGCCTATGTGAATTTTAAAAGAAGCAGCAAGCATCTGACCAAGATGAATTTCAGGTGTCTTAACTCCTCCTGGGCTGCTCTGCCCATCTTTCTCTTTCCTCATAGGTTCTCTTAAGCCTTCCGCAGCAGAAATCTCACAAATACAGCAGCTCCACCAGCTCCCTGAAGATCGGCAGTCTCCGAGCCAGCCATTCCAAGGGTCGCAGAGCGCCAAAGGCCACCAGCGGGTCGTCACGTTGGCTCAGCATATCAATGTAATTAGCATTAGTCACTTAGCTTCCCGAACGGATGTTGCACAGGCTTGGACGGGGAGTGCTAAAGCCGTGCTTGTTTGGACTCTTGTCCATAGCACACAAAGCCTCGCAATCCCAGGCTAGGTTTAAGCAGAGCTCCTGTAAGCACAGCCATTTTCTGTTGGAAGGAATGATCCATGCAGCCCCTTCCAAGACTCATCCCATGGAGCAGACTTTGTCTCTGCTTTTAAGCTCAGAATAAATGACTTGGAGGTTGCGGCATGGCTGACTCCTCCAGATAAAACATTTTCATTCAGAGTATTAACTGCCCTGCAGTTGTAGAGCATTATGTAGGACCAGCTAACAACATAAAATAACCGACTCGACTGGCAAAAATGTGAATTTATTTACTTATTATTTCATAAAATTTATACACCACTTGGTTGTGAAAAACCTCAAAGCAGTTTACGAAATGATAAAACAGTAAAATCGAGAAAAAATTACAACCCTGCTTTAAAACATACAAAAGTTATAATACTAAAACAGGTTGAAGTTATCTCAACTTTCTAAGCACCTGGGTAGACTCAGCCAAACAATGAAGTTTAGAATCATAGAGCTGGAAGGGACCTGAGGGTCATCCAGCCCAACTCCCTGCAAGGCAGGACTCTCAGCTAAAGCATCCGTGGCAGAAAGCTTTTCCTGATGTTTCGCGGGCTCCGAAACGAAGGTGCCTCTTGATGTCCTTTGAGGCAGGGAGTTCCAAAGTGTGGGTGCTGCCAGTGCCTTTGCTGGTGACTTGAAAGTGTCCTCCTGTGTGTTTTGGTGAGCCCTGGAGCTCCCTGGAAGTTGCTCAGGGGTTCCTTGGTGAGCAGCTCTGGAATGGCAGGCAGGTTTCCTTGGCAGCCAGCCTTGCCCACCATTGCAGCTGATCTTTGCCTGCCACGCACAGCTGCAAGCAGGGAGCTAGCTCTGTTCTGCTGTGCCCTCTCGGTCCACACAGGGCAGTGCCAAGGCCCAGGTGGGCACAAGAGTATTCAACCTTGGAACCAGGGGTAGGAATCTCTTTCATTCCCTTCTGGGCAGCCTCCCGTGATTCACTCATGAGGGGTGTGGCCTAGGTGTGTGCAATCTGGGGAAAGTCCCGAGGGCCAGATAGAGGGTTGGAGGGCCACATTTGGCCCCTAGGCCTCAAGTTGATAAACCCTACCCTGGAGCACACTCCAAAGTCCAGACATGGTTCCACAGTGGGCACACAGGCTTTCATTGAGGAAAGTGCAAGTTTGGAAAGGACTGCCCAAGAGTGATCCATTCTTCCCCAAATAAGAGATCTGGTTTTCCCTACTACATTTTTGGTGAGGAATCTCTTCTGGCTCTGCAGCCCTGCAGCCCTCTGAGTTCCCGCCCCCAGAAAAGAGAGGGGGGGAAGTGCATAGATCCCCTTCCAGCCCCTGCATGGGCCAGATTGCAGCACACCACCCACACAATTGGGGCTCACACAGCGCCTTGGAGCAGGAGCACTCGCATGCCCCCTGCATGCTCAGCCTCCCTCATAGCATGCTACTTGGAGCGCACAAGGAATGATCTGAAGACAAAAGCAGAGCTGTGTTCTCTTCTTGCAGGAGGTTATCACCCAAGACTATACGCGCCATCATCCCCAGCAGCTGAACTCCCACATCCAGACCCCTATGTACCCCTTCCCAGGGTCTGTGCTGGATCTTCGGCGAACTCCTAGTGAGGCTTACATGCAGCAGCAGCAGCAGCAAATGGAGCACATCCCTGCTTCAAGAATCTCCCCCGAAAGTGAAGAAAGCAAGAGGTGAGCCCACTTCGCCCCTGTCTCTTTGCCATTGCCTCGCCCCATTCTGATACTACTGGTGTGTTCCAGCCAAAGTTACAGAGTTGAAAGTCCCTTTGCTGGGGCGAGAGGGGAAGGCACAGGGTTCCACTGAAGCAAATGGGGTTTAAGATCAGGGAGATTGTGTCCAAAGCTCAGGCAGATACAGAATCCAAACCCAAAGGAGCACAGGTATCGTCAGTGAAACTGGGGACCTTGGGAGAGGCAATATCCATGAGCTGCCACACATGGCAAGCTGCTTCACGCATCTCCTCACCTCCTCCTACCCCAGGAGAAAGGAAGCTGGATGCAATTCCTGTCTGCTGGATTCTAGCTCTGCAAATCGCAGTCCAGCAAGGCCGGCCCCCTCCCAATCTCTGAATGATAGAGAAGGGACTTTATTGGGATCCTTCGAGCTGAATCATCCTCCTTGCCTTCCATACACCCCCCAAGGCAAGTTTCATAGGAGCACAGGAAGCTGCTAATGCGGAGTCTGTGAAGCCTAACTTGACTGGCAGTGGCTCTCCGAGATTTCAGGCAGTCCTCTGGAGCTGTCGGGGACTGGACCTGGGACGCCTGCATGCAAAGCTGCAGCCCTTCCTCTTGTACCGAATCTCAACAGTAAGGGAGTTCCACAGATGTGGAGCAACAACTGAGAATGCCATCTGCACGCCTTCCTCTTATGAACTCTCTGATGCAATAGAAGCTCTTGTCTGTTTTAGACTAGCAGTAATTGGAACTGGCATTATTCTTTCTTTCCCCCTTCTCTCCCCAGAAATCATTTTGCAAGCTTTGATTGAGAGCACCAATCACCACAATCACACTCATACTGTATAGTAGTGCCCAGATTCAACGTAAGGGAATCACAATAGGATATGGAGAGGAAAGCCCAGACTGTTTCAAACCTTGCAGGAGTGGGGTGGTGTTGTTTTGCCCCAGGCTTCCCCATAGCAATTGTTCATTTCTTCCAGTGCAAGTCTGCCACTTTTCTGCCCACTCTAAAAATTGGGGTTTTCTGCCCCACCCCTTTACCTACACCAGCTCTTCTGTGTCAGAAGGAAAAGAGAGCCGTGTGGTTCCCACAGTCCTGCTGCTTGCTTCCTCAGGTCTCCCGAGCAGATCAGAACACCTGCTCCGAACAACTGCATAGAGCCCGTCTCTCCACCAGATGGGGTGGGAGAAGCCGATCACGTGCGAAATGCCACATATCCCATCCTGTATCGAGAAGGGGAACAGCTGGAGCAGAGGTAACGGAGGCAGCAGCTGGGCTGTCCAGCGGGAGTTTTCTGAGGACGATCCCACCTCCCCACTCCACCCATTGTGTATTCCCTGCTGGGCAACCAGTGATTTTTGTCGTTCTCTTCCAAACAACACTAGCTCTGTGGTTGGGCAATCAGGCTTTTTAATTGTGCCTTGAATGCTGGACATCCCAGATTGGTTAAAATCATCTTCTAAAGCCGCGTAACTCTTTCAGAAACCAATCATTCAATGCATCCAGCAGTGATTAGGGAAAACAGATGGGATCTCTTTAGATCAGTGGCATACTTAGGCATGGTTGTGGGAAGCATAGGAAACTATCTTACACGGAGTAAGACCATTGAGTCCATCTAGCTCAGTATTGTCTACATTGACTGGCAGCAGCTGTCCGGGGTTTCAGCCCAGGAGTCTTTCCCAGCCCTACCTGGAGAGGCTGGGGGTTGAGCTGGGGGTGCTCTTCCACTGAGCTCTGTCCCTGCTAACGGGGCAGCCTGTGGGCTCACCTAGTCCAGCTGTGTGCATTGTGCACCGTGCGTGCGGAACAGTGTATAAGTGAGCTAGGTAGGTGTGCACGTGGATTCGTGTTAGGGCTCATCCATACCTCCGCTTGTACCATGCCTAGAAAGCATGGGGGGCAGCAGTTTTCTGCTTGACCCACGGTTTCTAGGCCTGGGTCCGAGTGGTTTTCCCTTTGCCCCGCTCATTAAAAACACATTCTTAAGCTTAAAATCGGAGCAAACCCGAATTGCCATTTTCCATAGGAGAAAAGCAGCAGGCTGGAGAACGTGTGGAGCAGCCCTTGGAGGGCGCTCCTTACCCTTCCAGGAACAATCAGTCAAACTCCCTTATTGGCGTAGTAAGAGTACGTCATATACATGGATCAGAACACAGCACAGGTGACAAAACATAGTTGGAGGTACTTGAGGATAAAACTGTTCAGACGTTGTGAGATGCAAAAGTGGCTCCTAGGACCTGTGGTGATGTAATTTCATGATGTCACTCAAAAATCTTGCCACATTCTCCACAACATCATTCCTACAATTATTCAACAGATAGATCACCCCCTTCCAGGAACATGTATTACTTTTAACGTGAAACTGCTAGTGGATTAGGAGGTTGGGCCACTTGTTATTTTAGAGAGAAATCCTGGGATACATTTTGTGATCAGGGCTCTCTAGGCCGAACATGATGGTATCAGGATTCCAACAAAATCAGTTTGATGGGCTTTCAATTGTGCAGGATGGGCTCCAAATCTCCAGGAAACAACGTGCAACCACCAGCCTTCTTCAGCAAACTGACAGAGAGCAATTCTGCTATGGTGAAGTCCAAGAAGCAAGAGATCATCAAGAAACTGAGCACGAACAGCAGGAGCGAGGCAGAGTACAGTAAGGACTTCTCTGGGCCGGGAATTTATTCCTGTTATCTGTGGGGACAGGGCAGTAGCAATGAAGTGATGGTTACAGTTGGGGCTGCAATGTTCAGTCAGCTAATCAAACTTAATCAGCTAAACTATTCTGATTGACCCAAAGAGTTTCCCTGATGAATTAGTCAGCTTATTTTTATTATTTTTATGCATGTACATGTAAAAGCTGAATATTGCAAGTGTCATTTTTAGAAGGGATATTTGAGTGTGAGAGTGAACAGGGAATGCCATGGCACATGCATCAAAATATTAAAAAGTAATTACTTCATTACAAAGGCTGGTTTATTCAAATATAATCAAATAAATTTATTGACAAACAACAACAATATCTCTTGCCCACCCTTCACTACAAGGTCCCAAAGTAGATTGCAACAATATGAAAATAAAATCAGGTAAAACAGTTAACAGATCAGAAGAAAAGGGTGGCCTGGATGGTTAAACCCAGTCAAAGGCAACTATGAAGTGCGGTGCTCATCTCGCTTTCAGGCCGAGGGAGCACTGGCGTGCTTTCAAAATGCTAGGTTGGCAGAAGCTGGGACAAAGCCATGGGAGCTCACGCCGTCACACAGATTCGAACCGCCAACCTTCTGATCAGCAAGCCCAATAGGTTTGGTGGTTTAGACCACAGTGCCACCTGCTCCCTTATGAACTCAGGGCTCATCCATACTGTTGTTTAATGTGGATAGTAAGCTTCTTATACACCCATTAATTCCCTGTGGTTAATATAACCCACCCTCCCAATCACTGCCTTCCCACACTTTCCCTTCCCCCAGTCCAGATTTCCCCATGCCCTCTTTGTTTCGGAGAATCCCTGGCATGAGAAAATCCAAACTGAGGGAGAGGAAAGTGTGAGAAGGCCGTGATTGGGAGAACGGCACAATGGAGTCATGGGAAGCTTAGTATCCACATTAAGTGGCAGTGTGGAGGAGCCCTGGTTTCATTTGCTCAGAATGTCATAAACTAATGAGTGCTGTCAGTCCTGCCTGAATCTGGCCCAGCCGCACCTTAGACAGTTACAACTTCCTTCAAAGCATCCTGGGAACTGTAGTTTGTTAAGGCTGCTGAGAGTTGTTAGGCAACCCCTATTGCTCTTACAGGACTCCACAGGGATTGATTCACTCTGTGAGGGGGACAAGGGTTTCCTAACATCTCTCGGCACCTTGGGATTCATTGGGAGGAGTCTTGACTGTTGAAAGTCATGTGACCCTGCTTCCAATGTATAGTGCAGATGGGGCCTCTGACTCAGCCAGGTGGCTGCTTTCAAACCTCTAAAGAGCTCAGCCCTTCCTGGAGTCCCTGTGACAGTGGACAATTTGTATTAGAAATGCTTCCCATCTGCTCATTTAACTACAAATTGATCTGTATTTTAATGTATCCTAACATGCTAAGCAGTCACTTTCAATTTTATCCGAGCCACTCATAGAACAATTGTGTTGGACAAGAGAGTTAAGCGATGTTCCTCTTAATATCTCCAGTATCCCAACTGCATCATCATGGCTTCTTCAAGGAGTGGCAGCGAGTCCTGCAGCCTCTCGCTTGCGTTTTTCCCCATAGAGGTGGGAAATAAAGAAAAATGGGTAGTGCCTTGTATTAGGCAAGGTGTTCTGTACTTTCAAGGACAACAAACCCAATTCCATCTTTGCTCTCCAAGATAAAAAGTATTGGGCTTTTATGCAACTCCTCCTGTTGGAATGATGGGGAGTTTACAGTCTATAATTAGCCCACCTGGGAATGTGACTTGTGCTTGAGGCTCTCTCTTTCCCCCCTCCTCCAGATGTCGGGCAACCTGGAACAGAGATCTTCAACATGCCGGCCATTACTGGAACAGGTACAGCTGTGCTTCCGCTCCATCCGGCGTCTGACACTCCCATTCCACACAGGACTCTGCAGATCACAAATGCCTTCAGATAATTTAAGCATTGCAAATGTGGCCATGCAGTCTCATTGGGCAAAGTGGCAGACTCCTGATAACTCAGCCATGTTCCTGAACAGCTGTACAAGACAGCAGAAGAGAGTCATGTGGAAGTAGTGGTGAAGGGAGTGTCATTTGCCATTTTGTATGAGACTGGTTGTCAAAGAACTCCCTTTAAGGCACCTGTGTGGAAATGGGGAAGTCAACCCAGGAAGGCAGAGAGGGGAGCAAATCATAGGCTGGATTTAATTTAATGTTTTATGTTTCTACAAAGAACATTCCTTCTCTTCCATATCACTCGGTCTCTCTTAAAAGTTTTATTTTATTTATTTTGGCTCCTCTTGCCCTGGGAATGGTTAGCAAGCCACTGACCCACAATGCCGCCTCTGGTCTTTGTGCATTGCCGCACCTTAACTGCATGGCTTCTAATGACTCACAATCGCAATACCAACACACACACACACACACACTTGTTTATTCAGCCTGTCTCCCATATAGAAGTCCTTTTGTCCTCACAGCCTCCACCATCAGAAAGTGGAATCAAGTTGGAAGGATGAAGATTGGGTGGCAGAGTTTGGATTTTGGGAAATCCAAGTAGCACAGTAGAAGGAATGGGTTGTATCCAGTATATGCCCTCCTGACACTTAGACCCACCGAAACTCATGAACATGACGTATAACTTAGTTGGATACAGCCCAATGATTCCCATGTATACTAAGGATGGAAAAGATGACAATAATCCACTTCCAGATTATATATCAGCAGTTTCTCCTGTGAGGCGTAGAAGGTGGGCATCACCTGCCTCCTTCCTTCTGTTTGGCATCCTCCTTTTTCTAGTGACAAAGTTTGCTTTTTGGTTAGAAAGGATAAATTTAGAGGAATAATAATAATTTTATTATTCATACCCCGCCAATCAGACCAGCACACGTAAAACATAATAACATGCCAAACATTAAAATTAAGATGTGTGTGTGTGTGTGTGTGTGTGTGTGTGTGTGAGAGAGAGAGAGAGAGAGAGAGAGAGAGAGAGAGAGAGAATATGGATGAATGAATGGATGAATGAAAGCACTGATTTTGAAAAAGGATGTTGGCAAGGGGAATCCTTTGAGAAAAGGGAATTGACAAAAATTTGATTTGAAATATCTATATATATATATCGATAGATAGATAGATAGATAGATAGATAGATAGATAGATATTATTATTTATACATCTGGCTGAGTTTCCCCAGCCACTCCTTATATTCCTTCTATTCAAATTTCCATCCCTTTCATTTGGATCAAGATTATTTTTTGAAGGAAGACTCTCATATTGATCCCCACCCCAGGGAGATTAGCTTTCCTGGTTGTCCATGCCAACCTGCCCAAGTAGGAAGGTGAACTTGCCTGCACATCTGGAGTGGAGGTCTATGTAATATGGTTGTCTGCGGACATCCAGCATCTCACTGACACTCAACTGCAAAAAAGTGTTTTTGGTGACATCTGGAAGTTACAACATCCCACCCCTTTCAGCAAGGCTTATTTCCAAGCAAGTTTGCTCAGGAATGCAGCCTGAAATGTTCTTACCCCGCATGCTCTCCCTGGGAGAACATAATTCTTTTGCAGGTCTGTAGCGATTTGATCTCAGAGCATTTTCTCCCATATGAACATCACTTGTGCTGTGAGAGAACGTGGTTGACGCTGCTCTTTCTGCTGCTCAGTGCTGTGTTTAAGCGCGTCCAGAAGCAGTGATGTCACACAACTGAAATTCCTCCACTTGGAGCAAACAGAGCCTGTCATGTCATGGCCTCAGTTTAGTGCCCTGTTCCCTGGTGATTTGCATGAGCCCACGTGTTAACGTTTCTTCAGCTCATGCTGCTGGGCAGGCACCTGGGGAAGCATTCCTTCCTCCTTGGGACTGCTCTGCGTTTGAAGGAATTGGATTCAATCTGTTGAAACTAATGGATATGACTAATTTAGGTCCATTAATTTCAGTGGGTCCAGTCTAAGTAGAATTTAGTTGGAAGACAACCCCAGGTTTCCCCACTGGATGTGAAACTGGTACACACAGCCCTCAGTCCTTTAGTCTCTGTGTGTATGTGTGTGTGTGGCATTCCAGAAACAATAATCTGTGAGTAGTTTCTGCTTCCTTTTTGGTGTCCCTGCAACCTCCTTGGGGGCAGGCGAGGAGCTGGCTGTGCCAGGGGGTTTGGGGGAACCAAGAAGACAGCCGGACAGAGTTTGTTGCTTTGCAAGAATGTGCTGACTGTTTGTTTCTTCCCTTCTCCCTTGTCGCCTTTCCTCCTCCTCCTCCCCCTCCCCCCCAACCCAATTTCTTATTTGGTTTCCCGTTTCCCCCAACCCAATTTCTCCCCCTCCCTCCTTTCTCCTTCCCCCTCCTTCCACACCTCCCAGGGTTAATCAGTTGTAGGAGCCAGTCGGTCCAAGAAAACTCCAGTACCAACATGGGGTTGGAGGCAATTATTAGGAAGGCCCTAATGGGTAAATATGACGAGCAGTGGGACGAGCGCTCTCCTCTCAGTGCCAATGCTTTTAACCCTCTGAATGCCAGTGCAAGCTTGCCCGCTGCTATGCCTGTAACCACTGCTGACGGACGGATTGACGACATGCACTCCTCCTTGCCAGGTCTGCAGCCCTCCCCCCTTTGTTGCCCTTTTCGCTGTGTTCTTAAACCTTCTCTTTGTGCTGTTAACCCCTCTCTCTTTGTCTTTTTAGTGGTTTTCGTGTCTCACCCCCACCCCAGATCCTTTCTCTTTAAGCTTTTGGGCATTTACTTTCTGTTCCCATTTTTAATTACACCAATTAATCTCAGTTCCTGGTTTGATAAGAAGCACTTTAATTTGTTAGGCTGGGAGTGCCATTTTGCTTCCTCTGAAACACTGACCATTGGTGCTGTCCTTTCTTTATTTGATGGGGAGGGGTGCAATTGTCAGAAAGGCTGGGGGGTTGAAGATGCTGGGGTCATGGGGGAAAAGCAGGAAATCCCCCAACTCCTCTTCCAGGCTTGCTGGGAAGGGCCAGGATAAGTGAAGGGAGGGTGCAAAGGAAGGGTGTGAACAAAGTACATTTGTATGGCTAAGGGAGAACTAGGTGTTTATGTTCAGCTGTTTTCTTAACATCATGCTGTCAATATACTCATTTACAAATGCAGACTTGCGAAAAGTGTGTCCATGGTTTGTCTGTTTGCTCCTGCCTTTTGTTATGTCCCACCCTCAGAAAAGCAGAGAAGGAAAGGTTTCCTCTTCCCACCACCCACGTTGCCTCACCTAGTACAGCAGCAGAGATCTTGCAGCACAGCAAGTCAAGACTATGGCTTACTGGGACCGCACAACATGTGGGTGCCAAGGGAGCAGCTGGCAGCCACTTTGCTCCTTCCCAATCCTTTTTACTGCCATGCTGAGCTAAGCCACAGTTCAGTTCAGCATATCATCTGCGCCAGGGGCCTGTGGTTAAACACTCTCCTCCATGAACAAACCTTGGCTCCAACTCATGGTTAGTGAGGAGAGGGCTTAATCACAAGCTCCAGTTCAGGCAGACAGCTAAGTCAAACCTTGACACAATGCAAGAGTAAGAGTAAGAAGGACCATCAAGCAACAAAGCTGTTGCAGACTCCTCTCTGGGAGCCCACACATCTTTGCCATAGTTTGCCTTGCTGTGCTGAACAAACCATTTGTGCATGTGAAAGCAGCCTTTTCCGGATGTATTATATGCCAGACCAGGAGCTGCACATCCAAGTTGCAAGTGCGGCCTGTTTGCACCATGTTGGCTTTCCACAGAATGTGCATTTGGTAGCACGTGCCCGTGCAAGGTGCCTGTTTGGGGATGTGTCCAGAGGATGTGTCCCATTAAAAGCAGCATAGTGCAGATAACTCACACTTGCACTCAGGTGTGCATTAGATCTTGGAGATCTTGTCCTAGTTCTTCCTTGTCCCCAAAAGGGAACCAAGGCTAAGCACCCACAGCCTTAAAGAGGGATCTCTTTCCATGAATCCCTGACATCTATCTATTAGATGCCAAAAGGAAGGGACACACCCTATGATGTGCTGGGGGAGGAGGGAGGAGTTTTCATTTTGCATGATGGGAACCTGAATCTAGTAGCAGTTTGCCCCCATCGGCCACATACAGAATTCGCGGCCAGTTTTTGAGTGGGAAGGATTTAATACCTGTGTCTCCCAGCTTTCTAAATCTGCCCTGCTATCTGCTCAGCATTGTTTTCCTCTTCCTGTCATTAAAGAGCCCCTTTTAGGGCATCAAGCCCTCCCTAGTCATGTGAGAACACGTGGCTACCATTTGGTTGTTTGAATGGTGCTTCTTTTGTCAGGAGGAGGGAAGCCAAAGATTGCTGCCAGAGCCAACAGCCGTAAGGCCAAGTCGCCAGGACCAGGCCTGTCCTCCTCTGAGAGGCCACCATCTGTGTCATCTGTTCATTCAGAGGGAGACTGTAACAGAAGGACACCTCTCACCAACCGCGTCTGGGAGGACAGGCCGTCATCTGCAGGTAACAAGGGAAGGAGTCTGTGCCATGTTGGCTGCATCTAGTGGCTGGAAACAGTCAGGAAGCACTTTGGTTGGTGTTAGCAAGTACAAAGATGTGAGGAAATGAATTTCAGGGAGCCAGAGTCAGCAATACAAGTGAATTCCTCTGATGGATTCGTACAAGAAACCCTGATTGTCTTAGCCAGAACTTTCTTAGCTGCTTTGCCTTGACCATCAAACCAACCAAGGTATGTTGATTATTTGTAGTTAGTGAAGTTATCAAATAGGGTCTGAGTTCTGTTACAATTTGCTAGAAGACATCAGCAGGATTTGAAGACCTGGTCATAAAAAATTGACACAAACTCGTCAGACAGTTGCTATAGAGTGTATCTCGGATAGCGCTGCTCAATCTGTGAGACGATTTCAGTCTTTACACGCCCTGTATTTATCCACTCACACTTGCAGATTCAGTTGTAGCTATGCGTTCTATTAGAGGACACAGGGACGCTGATATTGAAAAGTGATCGCTTTCTGATTGTTCTAACACTTCAAAAGTGTCCACAGAAATGAATAATGAAGGTGACAGGTCACCCTGCTGTGGTTTAGCCAGCCCATCAGTCCCCTGCCATACAATACAAACAGGCTTAGCCAGGCCACGCTGCAGCAGTTTTCCTCCTCAAACCAGCCTTCAGTTCAGCTTACTCTAGTCATGGTACCTCATCTCGCGAGAGCTTTCTCATTGACCCAGTTTAGATGCTGCTGGCACTTGGGAATCTCTGTTTAAACTGCGCAGCACCTGCTTCCCAGTTATATGGCGGAAAAAGCCAGTCATAGCTATGTTCTCCAATATACACCTCATGGTTGCAGCATTGGGGACCAATTCTTATGCAGTACTTTGCATGCATGACACAACTCACATACTGCCTGCTCTCCTCTCCATTCACATGTAGTGCAGGCTAAGGTCTAGCATCTCCAGGATGGGAATGAAACCTGGTCACCTCTGCTTCCAGCAAGAAAATCCAACACTCTTCTAAAGAGCCTGTACTGAGGCTCTCCCTCCCTCCCTCCCTCCCTCCCTCCCTCCCTCCCTCCCTGGGTCATATTTGGGGCGGGGGGTTAATGGTTTGATTATTTACTCTGCTTTTAAAAATATGTTGTAATCCTCTTTGTGGGAGTTTTAACCCTTAGAAGAAAGCCAGAAATCTATTAAATTAATAAAGCGCCTTCTAGAGGCGGGAGAGTAATAAATGCTAGGATCAGTGCCACATTTTTGGGAAAGTGTGCAAGAAAGAAAAGCGGGAGGCTGCTTCCTTGGGAACAAAGGATTTGAGACCTTCTGGGCCAGTGGTTGGCCAACTCCTTGACCTTGCCTTGTCCTCCCGTCTCAACGCAGGTTCAACGCCATTTCCATACAACCCGCTGACAATGAGGCTTCCCACAGGTCTGGTGGCGGCTGCCCCACCACCACCGCCTGCCTCCGTTCCACAGGGCAACTCCAACAGCCAGCACCACGGCTGGGAGGAGGAGCCCAAGCCGCTGCTCGTCTCGCAGTACGAGACCCTCTCGGACAGTGAATGAGGAGGGAGAAGAGGAAGCGAGATGGAGAAAAAGGCCAGCAACAAATGGACAGATACTGATAGGTTGGCTGTTGAGTTAGCCCAAGGCTTGGGGATTGTGGCTGGCTGTCGCAGAGTGCGGCTGTCCTAGGCCAGGCGCAGGAGCAGCACTGTTCCAGTCAGCTGATATTATTTGTCACATCTGGAAGGGAGTTGGAAAAAAAATCTCTTCAGTTTTAAAGCCTTAAAAAAAACAAACCAAGCAAATGGAACCCATCCCAATCCTCTCTCCCAATTTGGTGCTGATACCTTGAGCCATTGCAGCAAGAAATTAAACCAAGCTAATGGGGGGGGGCAGCAGTGGGGAGCCCTGAAATCTCCCCCAAGGGACTGTAACCAGTCGCTGAATCTCGGTTACTAACACTCAGGGGATTCCAATTCTGTCCTTCAGCCCAGATGAGAGAGGGGGAGCGGGGGGCCCATTGGGAGAAGATGGCGTGTGCTGCTTGCGTGTTCCCACCTCTGTGACCCATCTTTCCTCTGCACACTGTAGTGGCCTGTTAATCCAGTACTTGAAAATAGGATTCATTCAGCCGCCCCTTCCTTCAACCTGCCTCTTTTTTTACCTTCACGAGGGGTTTCGCCCATGTTGGTCGTGTAGGGAGACAAATCAGAGCAGCCCTCTGGAAGAAAGTGTTGGTTTCTTCTGTTTCTGACAGTGAAATAAGTTTGTTTCTCTGCACCCATAGAGATATATGGAGGGGAGCTTCACCTGAACTCTCAACAAATACAGATTCAGGCAGCAATGCTCTGGGTGCAGGAGCCAGAGGACAAGCCAAAAACAGGAAAAGAAAAGGAATGATTCCTTTGGAGAAAGGATTGCTGGGTTTGCATTGTAATTGAAACAGATTCCTCTATATTGGCATTAGCTGCAGATAGAGGGGAGTGGGAGTGGGGGAAGCAGCTGTTTTGAATATGTTGTTTCTTCAAAACAACGCTGTGTATATGGTCTACAGGGTATATTTTTGATACCTTTGGCAAATGGTGTGTTTGCGCAAGGAAGGATGTTAAAAACAGTGTTATATGCTGCTTTTCGGTCTCTGCTCCTGTACAAAGAGGATTTCTATGTTGCATGCCAGCTTTGGATGGGTTTGTCCATTGTATGGAACTGTCAAGAGGTAACAATGTTCCAACAAAATGGTTCTGTAATTCAGTAGAATGTATTAACTTAGTTTTTTTAAAAAAGAAAAAGAAAATGAAGAAGTATATATATAATATATTATATATATATAAATATATAGTCACAACTGTAGGGCCCTTATTTGCATAGTTAACACTCCAGCATGGAGATAACATGAACACTTTTCAAGTGAGATTTGTCTCTTTTGGGAGCCGTGAGAGAGGCCAAGACACTCACAGGAAGTTTACATGTTTTTGGTGACTTGCCCACAATGTTCTGTTTTTCCATTTGTGGGTGTTTGCTTCTCCCCCAATCATAACACTTTAGGCTTCCTTTTTCGTCATATATATAGTCTCCTCCTTTTTTCACACTTCGTTTTCATTCTGTGCCCTCGAGGGAGCAGATCTGGGGAACAGCTTCTCTGCAGGAACAGACAAGAGTCGTGTTTTCATAAGCTGAGTATTTTGACACAGCATCCAGGGAGCAGCAACATCACAGCACCAGAGTTTTTGTACTGTGTGAGTTTGTTTCTACAGTGAGATCTGCTATTTTGTGTTCCTTCTCACCCATCTTTCTCCCACACACCATCCAGTTTTGATGATGAAACTGTTGCTTGTTGCTAAACTAGTTAAGACACAAAAATTTGGAGGTTCCGTGCAAGAACATCTACTGAGAGAATCCATCTCATTATCCTGTAAGCCTCTGCTCCTAAAACACTTGTCCCCAGCAGAGCTACAGTTCTTGCAGAATGACACTGCCCTGCCTCCATTTTCATGCCCTGCAGTGCTTTGCTGGTTGCTAAAGGATTGCAAAAATCCAAAAATCCCCAGCACAGGTGTTTGGCACAGATCGACCGCCATGCAAACTGCTCTGAAGAAAAGGGCCAGGACATTGGGCAGGTTAAAGGCAGGGCAGAGGAGGAATTCTAGAGCCGTGCATGGTATACCTTTCCAAGTGCTGCTTCCTCTTAGCTCAGCTCAAGTTGCATGTGGATTGCAGGAGATTAAACAGCACAGCCACCCTTCCAAAAGACCGCTTTGTGAACATGTACCCAAATTGGACTCTGAAATCCAGGGTCAGGAGAACCCAACTTAGGCCCACACCAGAAAGCGAGTAGAAGCTGCCTTGAGCTTGCAACAGGGGCCTTCCCTTAATGCCCAGTCCTTCCTTCTAGAGGCCCACCTGAGGATACTTTTCTCACTGGGCAAGAAATACAGTCATGTGCATTCCCCCCCCCAGACACTATTCTGTATATTGTACTTAATCTGTCTGCATAGACAGTGAAACAATTTGCTCATCAGCTTATGGGAAATGTCATAACCCAGAACCGAGCCACAGTTGTGTTAGTGACGAAACCACCACCAAACCAGTACTTTGTGCCTGCATGCTGTTTTGTGTCACTTCATCTGATTTGCATTGTTTTATCATTTCACATACACCACCTTTGAGTGTTCTTAGCAGAAAAGTGGTTAATGAGTTTTATACTGAAATATACTTAGCCGCATGTGCCTAAGACCATTCTTGCAAGAATGCCAGCGATACCTGCTTCTTCAGTCCTAGCGAGACCTGAAGTTTTACCACTTTGGGGGTCGTCAATGAATGCCGCTTAAAATCCTGGCTCTGTCACAAGAGCTACAGTTCACAGTAGTGAAACCTTTAAATCTTTCCCAGTGACAGAAGGCCCACTCACTCCACTCTGACAAGGAAAGGGACGCCCCCACAAGCATGACTGGATGCTGATTGTGCAGCGTTGGGCCAAATAGCTTGCCAAGAGATGAGACTTGGCTGGGATTACACCCAGGGTCAGCCTGTTGGCACAGATGGAGTTTCTGCCAGTGACTGTTCTGCAGTGTAATCCTGCACTGTCAATCTTAACACGAAAACATCTCTCCTGCCATCGGTTCATTTAGGCCAAGTCAGTAACTCACTCTTACACAATCATCCTAATTTGCAATCAAATAATAACTGGAAAATAGAGCATGTTTTGCCCAACAAACCCAGTGATAGATGAAGCAGCATTTATTGTGTTTATTGGACACTGGCAGTGTTAAGTTTACCCTCTCCTTCGTCCCTGTCACTTCCAGCCACTGCTTGTCTTATCTTGGGGGTGGCCTCATACATAGTTTTTACCTATGCAAAGATAATCTCTGTGGAGTCCATGTGCAGGGAGAAAGTTTAGTTTACCACAAGCACATAAATCAGAAAGCCAGTCTGTGTGTGACGACTGCTTGGCTTGTGCTTGTGTTGCTTCTTACATCATGATATGCATGCTTCTCCCTACACTCAGATTATCTCCATGTAGGAAAAACATTGTGCAGGGTAGGTCTAAGGTTCTTTGAGCTTTAACCAGTATTTACCCTGATCTTTTTAAAAATATACATATTTATATCACTGGTCCAAATTCCCTTGGTTGTGTTGTTGTTTTTTAAGTGACATACACAGACCACATTTTTGTAGACTTGCTGCCCACAAAAATTTTGTCATACTCATCACAGAACAATTTGCACAGATCAGATAGGATTTGCTCACAGCTGACGAGGTTATTTTATTGTTGTTGTTAGACCATATTGAATTTGTGCCGCTTCACGTAGCCTTTCCTTGACCGACATGTTCACAATTTTGGAACACCATCTCTTGCCACTGCTTGCAAGTTGAGGTCATGTGTACATTCCACTAAGGGATTTAGGAATAGCCCCTCCTCCCTTCCAAAAGGTTATTCCCGCATTACCAGACATTGTACATTCTCTGTACATGTGTGTGTGTGTATATATTTATATATATATATATACTCTTGGGTTCTGTGTATACATATTATTCCATTTGCGTGTGCATGTATAAGAAATACATGCACACACATTTTCTTTGTGCCTGAATCAGTGGCCTGGCACATATCCATGTGTGCACTTGCACGCACAAGCCAGATCTCGGTAAAACCCAACTCACTACAGTTCAACCAAATGCAGACGAGCATCGTCCCCATTGACTGTTAGCTCTACGTAAGGTGAGCACCGAGCACTGTGTGTTAGCTTCAAAGGAAAGCCATCCTTCATACACAACTGTCTGCATAATTTGTGTCGGTTTTAGTGACATATAGATCTCTATTGTGCTACCTGGCTATGATTTTTTTTTATTAATTGTGCAATCAAGAAAAAAGGAAGTTATGTTAAACTATTAAAGTTTGAAGTGTTACCAACTTTGTAATTTGTACAAACACATAAAAACAAAAAACAAAAAAAGAGATTAAAAGGACAATTTTATTGTTTGAAATGTACAAGGGGGAGGGTGGGAAAAGAAATCTATCTTTTGTACAACCAAATTGTGCATAGTTGTTTCAAAGCAAGTTGTATGATAGAATGGACTGTATATAGAAACTGCTAAGTTGTAAATATTTATGCAGCTTGCTCTAAAAGGTTGGGGTTTTTTTCTTCTACTGAAAGTGAAGTTTTTGTTCACTGTTGTTATTTTGGTTTTCCGCTCTACATGCCCACTAAGCAAGCACTGTGGGTTTGCAGTGTCAGAGCACTGCCTTACTGTTTAAATAAAAAAAGAGAGGGGAGAAGCTTATTGCCAGCAAAATGGAGCTCTCATGAGTCTTGTGTGTGGTGTTAAAAATGGCTATTTCATATGACAGGATGGGGCAAGGCATGCAGGAGCCCTCATCGCTGAACCCAACCGGGAGACTTGTGGAGCAGAGCAACTGTCTAAAGGAGGGAACGGGCACCTGCTACTCTAATGCTTTTATACTATTTCATTTGGAAGACTTGCATGTTTTCCATGGGTGCCACTCAGGATGGCTGTGCTGTTTGTCCGTGAGCAGAGGCAGTATGCTTTTGCATACCAGTTGCTGGAAGCCACAGGAGGGCCTCATCCTTATATTAAAATCTGGAAGCTGTGACCCTAAAGTAGGACTAGGGAACCTGTGATCCTCTCCAGATGTTGGTGAATTTCAACTTGCATTGTCATCCCTAATCATTGGCTATGTGAAGTGAAGTTCAGCATCACATAGAAGCTCAGAGATTTGCCCAGCCCAGGGCCTGGAAATGCAGCATGGAGCAGCTTTAAAACACATTTTGCATAACACTTCCTCAAGTGTTGTTTCGCACGTTCACAATTTGAAAGCTGCTAGCACGGCTTCCTGGATTGACTTTGTGCCTCAAGTTAAGCTGTCCTTTCTTTCATACCCCCAGGGAGAATCCAGAAATGTAGGCAGCTCTGTTTATCCATTCTGTATAATTATATGGAAAGTGTATTAGTCTATACACACTGAGAGAGAGAGAATCTTGCAAATAACACATTTCCTGAATCTGCTAGTGTAAAGTAAGAACCCTATTGAAGGAAAGGAAAGCAGCACTCACCTTGCAGTTCTTTCCCTCATTCCCCAACATCCTCTCTGCTTATCTGTCGCAAATGAATTTGGAAGCCTCCTTTTCACTTCCAGAGCAAAGAAGGTCCATCAATTATGGCATTCTGGCAGGTGAGGTCATCACTTCTGACACCTGAACAAAGTCACAGCTGTACTGCCCACCATGCCACTCCACCATAGAGAACTGCCCACAAAGCAGTCTGCTGTGGTCAGCTAGGGACCCACATTACCTCCTCATATAGATGCCAATCTTGTAAAATCACATGCATCACTTTACAATTCAGAGGACTGAAGTTTGTTACATTGAATGTTGCTGCACCATTGGTGGCAAGTGAGAAGTTTGTCCTCCTTAAGGATGTGCGTCTGTTCCAGGTCTGGCCAGCTAGATGGCAGCATTTCTTAAGGCCAGCGCTTTCATTTATTTGGAAGGAGTGAAGGTCGGGTGCTCAGCTGCTGGCGGTGGTTGTACATTTTATTGCTGGCAGCAGAAGGGAGCAGGAACCAAAACCAGGCCTTATTTCTCCTCCCTCAGCAGTTTGCGTTGGCTTTATTGAGCATCATTCCCTAGAGAAGCCAACACACAGGCCTTTTTTCTTTGCTTTAGAACAAGTTGAGAATTGTAGAGGCAGAAAACCAGTCTGGACAAAGGCAGGCTTTTCTGACCTAGCCAGCAGTTTTTGGTGCAGAAGTAGTCCCATAAATGGCCCTTTTCTAAGGTGGATAGAAGATCTTCCTGCTCCCCTTCCCCCACCCCCAAAACAGTGCTTTAGTGCTAAGAAAAGGGAATGCCGAAAACTTCACTAATCACAATGAAGAAATTATAACCTGTGTGGCTGAACATGATCCTGTTCCCCCAGAGAACAGATGGAGGGCTGATCCCTAAGAAACTTGGATTGCAAATCAGCAAGCCCAGCCATGTGGGGGGAGAGGGTGGGGCATGGAAGAAAGGGGTGTCCACCAGCCTAGCTTGCCCTGCAACTGCTGAAATTACACAACGCTGCTCCGAGACTAGTTCTAGCAGCCAAGCAACCTTTCCCAGCTTAGCCACTTAAATTGCAGTTGACTGCACAGCCCATGCCACACATTCCATATTGGAGCAGGTGTATTTTGCAACATAACAATAGTGAGACAACAATAGTAATGGTGGATTTATGCTGGACCATCCACACATTCTGCTTGTTATTCGTTGTCCTGGCATGTTATTCAAAGGCTGCCGTCAGGAGGGGCATGCTTGCAACAAAAGCAAGACACACACACACCTGAATCAGGGTTTCAGCAGGACACCATGGGACGTGGTGATCGGAAACAAAGCAGTATGTCTGCATGAAATTAGCAGGCAGAAACAATATTGAAAGCAGGATCGTGTCTGTGACCACCCCAGTAAGATGATGAGCACAAAAGTCATGAATGCACAATGAAAAGTACGTCTTGAGGGGCCTTTTGTTTCTGTCTGTTTGTTAAGAGGTATGTATGACTGATCCCCCAAAATAAAAGCTCATTTCCCCATTGCATCGCCCACCACCACTGCCCCCTCCAACGGTGCAATATATATATATATATATATATAATGGTGAGCAACTTTGCAAAACCAATTCATTCCAAGGAATACTAAGTGCTGCTCTTCAGACAGAACAGATTTTCAAACTCTTTCCCAAAACAAGACAAATTGGGAAATGAAAAGGCTGAGAAGCAGCGAGGACAGCGATGACCTGTATGCTGCTGCCAGCGCCTCAGCAAGACAACATGCCAGAGGAGGAAGTAGGGGTGCATGTTTGTGTAACTTATAAATGGAGCTTTTAAATGAGACCCCACCCCCCATGTTTTTTTCATCTGGCTGAGACAGGGAAGGTGGAATAAGCAAGCAAAGCCCTGCCTTGTTAAAGGCACCACAGACAGGCCTGGGGTTTACTTTGGACTTGCACTGAGCTGCAAAATAGCTCTTTAAATGACTCCTTTCTTCTTCCTTCATTCCTTCCATGCCAGCCTAACTCCACTGCAATTCTTCAGCTCCTTCTGCAAGCGCCTTCCATTTGCAGATTTGTTCTGGTAATGGCTGATAATCTCCCAAACTGTGGATTAATTGTTCCCAAACCCTTCCTAATAAATAGGTTCGATCCAGTTCCTGTTTAAAGGTGGACCTACATAGCACTTTCCCCAAAAATACAAGAAAGAAGAAATCTCTCAAAATTTGCACTTGCCCAACTTTTGCAGCACACTTCTCCTGCCAAGCAATGTGCACAAAAATGTGAATACAAGGATAAAGTGTGCATTAAAAGATTACTGAAAACAACATACAAAAAATTCATTCAGGGCGGGGGTGGGGAATTGCTTGGAAAAGATGTACCTTTGACAAAACTGCATACAAAAATGTGTATATTAGAAAAAGTGCATGCTAAAATCCTGAGGAAGGCTTTTAAAAAAATCACAAACTGATGTGCAAACGTGAAGAACTGAACTGAATATTGGAAAAAATGAGAAACTGGGAGAAAAATTGACACATTTGCCCATCCCTGCTCTGAAGTGCTAAATAAAGTGCAATTTTACTTTGAGATCACCATCACCATTCTTGGCTATGAGGATGATGATGGAGAGTCATTTTGCAATTTCAAGCAGAGGTTGCCCCCACTCCCCGCCTCCCGCTGTGTCTTAAAATCTGAACTCAAGGGGGGGCGGTGGTGGTGGTCAGGTTGCAGCATTCCGTTTGCTGAAGTGCCCAGAGGCACCCAGAACAGCTTACGTCTTCTGGGGAAGTCTGCACTGGGCAGAAGGCACAGAAAAGGAGCAAAGGGTCAAGGAAAGGAAGGCAGGGGTTTGAAAAAAGCCATGGACAAGGTAAGCAGAAGAAACAGCCTCCAATGTGAGCAGAAATGCAACACAGCAGCATGACTACAAATGCACCAACTGAACTTTGTGAAGAGGATCAAGAATCCTCGCCTTTCCTATGCAACGCACTTGCAAGCACAGAGCTTGAGTTTGGGCGCAAAGCAAGGAAGGCTCAAAGGCATCGCAGAATGTCTATCCAGCAGATCTGTACTGGGGTGCTGGCCTCACAGTAGCCCCCTCCAGCCGGACAGGACTTTTAGTCTAAGGGAGAATGGAGGTAGGGAGGTGTGGGTGTCAGCAGCGGACAGAAACCAAGTATGCACACCTACAGACACACAGTACACAAAAATGCACAGAAACATTTCCCACTATTGCAGTGGCCTAAATGTCAAATGTTTCCCCCTGCCCCTCTCAGAAAGGGGGAAGGAGCAAGGGGACCAGGCTGTAAGAGCGGCGAGGCCGCAGCCAAGTTGTCAGGGTGTGGAAGGGCTCTGCTTTAATTCGCCAACTTCTCTGAGCTGATCCGTCCTGTCAGCGCTGAAATACTCCATTCCCTACATGTCATATTTTGAGGAGGAGAGGGCGGCGGGGAGGGGGGCTCTTTTCAAAATGTGAGCTTGCCATTTCCTGCAGCTCGATAAAAAGGGAAGGGGATCAAACAATCCCTCATTTTTACTGGCAGCGCTAACAAATGGCAGGAAACACTTGACCACAGAATATGTGTGACTGGAGGCTCCTTCCCTCCCTTCTTTTCCATGCACAGTAGACTGTTTTTATTGGATGTTTTCAAGGGGAATCTTAAAGCCTCTCAGCTCTCCCAAAATCTCCATGCTGCGCTCTTTCGTGGCTCTGTCTTGGCTTTGGGAAAGGTGACGGAAAATGGCGGCACCTTTGAAAAGCCCTATGACTAGATTCTCTGGTGCAATAAAAAATCTCTTCCGGGCACTTTCACATTGACAGTAACTTGCTCTTGTCTAGGCAACTGTTCACCTTTTCAGGGACTGACACATTCGCCTCAGGAAATGTGTTTCTGAGCTCATGGTGGCTCAGAAGCAACACACAGTATTGGGAAATAACAAAAAAAAAAACAACTCTAATATATAAAACATATAAAATCTTATTAGGGTGGGAGACTAAAGATGAATTAGTTACAACTGCAATGTTACACTGGGCGATAGTTATTGGACACAGCATTGAAACAGCAGCTATGGAATAGAACAATGAATTTTGCAACCTGTTATTTGATAAAGGAAAATATACAAAAAGTGGTTTACAGGTGGTAGTTAATGCCAGCAAACACGTTGAAATGTATAAAAGAGGGTCTAAATTATGTTGAAAGTGCTCAGAGGTGGAAGGATCTCTTATGCATATGTGGTGGTGCGGCAAACATGCCA